CGAAAAACAATTGTCAGGGGTGGATCAGTAGACAAACCGTCTGAACGCAGGGAAGGTTCGACGAAGGCAGCAGAAGGCCACGAGGCTTCGTGCGAATGGGCAGGGGCCTAGACGAACTTAGTTCGGGGTGTCCCCCTTGCCCGGTCTAAGTCTTACCTCCCTTTGTTTTCCTCAAAGAGTAGTCTTTTGTGTTTTGGACGTCGAGTGCGGCGCTTCAAAACAGATCCGATGTTTCGGAACGGTCTGTTCGCTGATTTTGCCAGAAACTCTGCTTGAGAGCACATGGATAGGCAAAGCGCTTGTCATTGCCAGGGACAGGATCACGTGACAAACGAGCTGAACGTCCCCCGCTGTTGTGAATGGAGGAAGACAGGTTCGCGCGTCCTGATGTGCAAATATCCGTCTCCATTTTGGGGTTTGTTTGGCTGGTTGGCCTTGAGGCCCAGGGTAAATGGCCCTCGACTTATTAAGGACCATTTTCCTTTCTCGCCTGCGTATCCTGACGTTGGTCAACCATGTGAGACGCCGGAGTTGCGGAGCCTCGTAGCCATGACAGCTCCCAGGGAGGTCAGGCATTGGCGGCTCCATTCTCCATCCCCCCTAGTCTCAGGAGCTGAGTGCTCTCATGTGGTTTGACGCCGAGCACAGCGCTTCAAATTAGTTGCGGCGTATCGTGATGGTTCCCACCTGTTCGGGTGATGTTGCCGGAAATTGTGCTTGAGAGCACATGGATAGAAAAATAGTTGTCGCTGCGTGGGTAGTTGCACCTGAGTATACTGCCTCGGAACAGCCACTGCATCGTTTGTGCATAAAGCCAGTCATCTCTTTTAGGTGACATGGCTCGATGGCCCCTGGATCTTAGGAGGGGTGGCTCCAAACCCTCAAGTTGGCGCCTTGTTGCCCTGCGGAATCACCGAGTCCCACATTCCCAAGGCTTCAGCGCGTTGCGTTCGGAGTCTCCGCCCGAACTCCGCATGTGGCGGGAGCCCAGAAGTGTTGAAGCAAAACTCGTCAGGCACCATCAGGCACCGTGCGAACCTTGGACGGGTGGCACCCACCCTCATGTTACCCGGAGCTAAAGCGGCATTCTTGGTTGCTTGTGGTTTGTTTATCCTAGGTCTGTCCCCGCTGCAATGGTCTCCGCGACCTCTACGTTGATCTCAGGATCCATTTGGTTGTTGGGGTTGAAATCTAGCAAGGCTTACAAAAGAGGCCCGTCGTTTCGGAACAGTTCCCAGCAACCTGGGGCTACTGCCAACTGTGGTTCCTGAGATTACCCTGATAGTTCCCGAAGGTTTTGTGATGGCTCCGAAGCCCCTTTTGTCAGATATACGTGAAGAGGCCACAAGGGTGTACGAAGCGACATTCTTGGTTGCCCAGAAGATCAGAACTGCACAGGTGCCCGTGACTGAACTCTGACTACGCAAGCATAAATGGTGCAGGGTTTGGGCTGAAGTGTGGTTAACAAACTCATGCTGGGTGCATCGGCCGGGCACAAACCGGTGCTAGATGAAAGATACCTTGGCCAGGACACAGGGCTCCTAGTCATACAGCTCATTTGAATTTCTGCCTTGGCCCTAAAGACCTGTACCAAAGAGCGAGGTTAAGCGTTTTCCAGCCGACACGTTTCCGGACTTTGGCAGTCTCGAGCCGCGAGGCGACGAAGATGGGGGCTGCGACCCTATGAAACCCAAGCTCGTGTTAGCACGGGGTTAAGGCAGAGGCCCTTTCGAGGGTCTAGGGCGAGTCCGGCTCTGCGGTGCAGAAGGTGACGATAGCGGAAGATCGTGCTTTGACACAGAACGGCGCCTCTGCTTCCCACTAAGTCACTAAGCAAAGACCCCAAACGCCAAGTCCCAGCAAGCCCCCCAGCGCCAGTTTTAAACCCCAAGTCCCAAGGCAAACGGCCGGGGATAGTGTCTCAGCGAATCTTCACTGCATCAAATCTTGCAAGGGGAGTAATGCCAGTAAACGTCGAGAAAGCAAGACTTCTGTCCTTCTTGCCAGGGTTTAGGGCTTGAGGTCTGGCATGTAGGAGCTCAGGGTTTAGTCATGTCGGGAGTGAGAGCAGTCAAGCAACGCAAGGCAACCTTTCCAAGTGGTGTCTTCTTTTCAAAGACAGGTTCTAGGCATGGATCGTGCAGGAGTGCGGACGTAGCACAGCAAGGTCGAGCAAACGAAGCTCTTGTGGATGCGCCGCTGTTGCCGCTCTTGGATTCCAGCAGACCGAAACCTGCAGACCCACGAAGTCCTGTTTGGCGGTTCAGGTTGTTAGACTCCAGCATCCAGTTCAGGAGCTTCTACCCGTGCTTTGGGCGTCAAGAGAAACTGGCCATTTGCGGAATGAAACGGCCTTTGAGGACGCAAGCTCCGGGGAAACTGGGTTGCGGCCGCTGAATGTTAGTTGCCAAAGGAGCAGCTCAACATGAATCGGGAAGGCTGGGACTGCTTCTGCAACTAGCTCTCTTGGCCGTGCAAGGCGCGAAAACGACTTTGTCTCCATGCTTGGGTGTTCTAGGTTATTGTTGAAGCTTGCATGCGGGCTGGTGATTAGATCTGAGCAGCTTCCACTCGGTAACAAGTAGAGGAAGCTTCACAAAGAAGATAAGGCAGAGGATCAAATGAACAATAGTAAGAGAAATGACTGAGAGACTGAGAATTCTACCTGAAAGAAACGAAAACATGAGCAACGAAAGAAACAACATACAAGGAAACCTTATCTCGTCCCCGTTCCATGTTGCTCTATAAAATTTGCTCGTTTGCAAGTTCTTCTGAGAAACGGTTCTTATTTTGCTGCATCTCCTTGCTGGTTGCCCCGCCTAGCTTTGAGCTTTCAAAGACTGGACAGGGAGATGTCGGCCTCGGAGGGATGCCTGTGCCGTGCTGGCACCTCAAGGCAACCGCAGCATGCTGCAGCTCTTTGCCGGACCGTTGCGACCCTTGCAAAGCTTGTAGTCACTTGTGGTCGTGACGGCAGCTGTTCGAGTTTGAATCTGATCGCTCTTTTGGACGGCGGACGCCAGGACGTTCCCTTCACAGTGTTTTCTGGCAGTGGCCTTTGCGCACCTCCGCACAAGCAAGTGCTCTAGAGATGGTGTGAAGGCTGATACATGAAATGCACGCGAGCAGGGTTTTCTCCCGCACTTGACTTTCTTTGTGCCAAGCTCGCCGCATTGACCTTTCACTTGTCTCTTCAGACGTGCATTGATTTGTTGGTTTGCCTTCAGCATACATGGTGCATGGACTGAGTAGTCTGCATATTCAAGGCAAGAAGCATGCTCTTGGGGGGTCAGCTTTCATATGGTGCTAGTTTCTATTTGCTGCTGCAGGCCCTTACAGATTTGTATCCTGGCAGACTTAGTAACCTACGGAAACTTGAGGCCCACTTCACAAGCTGTATGGTGGTTGCACTTTAGCCCTTGCTCCGGAAATCTGGAAACCAACCATGACCATTGCATGCAAAACGCTTGATGCCTTGATGCGGAGATTTCAGCTTTAAAGTTTTGCTTGGCTTACGCACCAGGCAGGTGCACTGCACACTGTACACACGAGCAGCAAGGGCTGGGTTTTGCGGTGTACGTCTTGGGGCATCTCACAGCCAGCCATCGGCCTGATCGGCAGTTCGACCGGGCCTCCGGCCCCTCCTGAGCCAAACCAGCCCCTCCTGCTGCCTCAGCTTGTGCAGGTGGGCCTCAAAGTCCGGGATGTGCTTCTTGACGCGGGGTTTGAGAAGCTCGTCCTCCGGAAGATTGGGCTCGTCATCCTCCGGCAACGGATGCTCAGCAACTTCCCGACCTTTGTACATGTCGAGTAGATGTCGAGTAAACGCTGTAGCCGGAACCAAGGAGGTGTTATGGCAACTCTGTGTCAGCAACTGGCGGCAGATTTTTTGCAGGAACTAGGCCCAAGAGGCCTGTTACAAGACCCCTTGTTCTTGTTACGTCTTAGTCGGTTCCTGACATGTGGTTCCTGTTTCGTGGCGCACTGGTTCCTGTTACACCAGTCGCCCGACCCCTAAGCGCCCTGTTCCACCCTGTTCGCATCGCTTCTTGGCTTAGCAGCCTCACTGACGGGCAACGCGTATGCAGAACGAAAGGAGTTTTCATAAACTTGCACGCCATCCGGTTTCGCAGGGTGGGGCTGAGGGCGGAGTAAACCCAAGCCTAAACTTTAAACCCTAAAGGCCCAAAACCCTAAACCCCTGAAGTTTCGGGAGCTGCAAGGAGGTTTCTTTACCCAAAGCATGTCGCAAAGACCTCTGAAGCCGGCTCCGCCCGAGACATGTGAGACTCAACTGCAAGGAACGGGGACGAACAGGGCTCAGGGTGTGGGATTTCGGATTCACGTTGCCTCAGGACAGGGTTTAGGGTTTAGGCTTACTGTTTATTACTGCTAGCAAGGCCTTGCGGCTTGTGGTTACCAAGGCCAGTTGGCTGTCCCAAGCCCTCAACCCACGCAGCTGCCCAAAACACGGGCCTTGGACCTGCAAGCCAGACTCCACACCCCTCTAAAACGCCTGAAAGCCCTGCACGCCGCCTAAAAAGCCTTGCACCCCAAAGACATTTTTCAAGGGGGTGAAGAATTGCAACTCCGACGTCGGCCCGGTGGACTTTGATGAGGAGCTGGGACTTTACAGGCCGCTTGCTTCCGACGTGTTTGGCTGAGCAGGCTTGAAACTCGAACCCTAAGCCCGAAACCCTAAACCTTAAACCACCCGCTTGGGGTAGGTCTGGAGGTTCAGGGGCTTCACGTACTTGGGGGCTGAAGGGTTGAGCCCATAAAGGAGGTTCTCTCGAACATTTGTGCGCCGGCTGCTCAAGAAGGACATCCATGGACGCAGGAGAACTGCCTTGTTTACTTAGAATTACTCTTGACAATATCGAAAGCTCAGTTTGAAGCTGAATGCTCTGAAGTTCTCAAAGAACGTGGAGACTAGAAGCAACGTCTCGTTGTTAGCATTGAGCCTTGGGCAACGTCCCTTACTCGGTCGGCACAGCGACATGAGCATCCATCCTGTTTCTGCTCCAAAAGGCTCAATGAAGCCCACAGTCTACTTCTGCGAGTCTGTAGAGGACTACCTCAGCCAAGCAGACCCCATTTTCTCTGGTCGTGAGATTGAGCATAGCGTGATGTTGGGGGCGACGACGTACTTGAAGCAAGACATTAACTTCTACAACGTGACACCAGAACTGATGGTCGTGAGAGCGGGGGAAGAACCCGATGCACCCTTGGTCTTTGTCGCGCAGATGATGTACCCGTGGCCATTGGTCATCTCCCTTCCCAATCCTGTCCTTGGTGCTGAGGACTCGGTGCAATTGGTGGAGGACTCTGTTTCTGCCTTCATTGCTCAAGCTATGCCGCGCTTCCGCGAGAAGGACGTTGTTCCCGTCAAACTCGTCGGTCCAAGCAACATGATCACGTTGGTGTTCGACGCCATGGACGACGGCGACAAGAAGAGCTTGAACCGCGGCAAGGACATCCAGTTCTACCAAGTGACACCAGCCACCTTGACCGACCCTCGCCTCGAAATGACAAAAGAGATGGTAGTCCGTCGGTACGATGCAGAGAAAGATGACGCCTTTGTTGTAGAGTGGTTGCGCCAATTCCAAGTGGATTGTTTCGGTGCCTGCAACGAGAGTGTGCTCCAGAAACAGATGGCAGATTACAAAGCATTGCCTCATCATCTGCGAGGTCTCTTCATCTTGTTTGATGATGGCCAGCCCGTTAGTCTTGCTGGTTATGGGGGCCCAACAACCCACACGATGCGAATTGCGAACGTTTTCACCCCTCAACAGCATCGTGGGAAGGGTTACGGGCAACTTGTCTGTTGGTACGTGACCAAGTGGCTTATGACCCCTCCCGCTGAAGCACCGGAGCAAGACAACGGTCTTGGATGCCTTTCCGTTGCCATTGCTGCAGATTTGGACAACCCGACCGCCGTCAAGATCTACACAAGGATTGGTTTCGCTCCATGTGTGGAGTTCGTTGAGTTCGAGGATGCTGCCGGTGTAGCTGCTGCTGCTGTGCGCAGAAAAGGGGACGCGCTTGTATCAAGGAAGGATACCATCTACATCCTCACCTGCCTCACATCCACGTTATCTTGGACAGTCTACCAGAAGGCAGCTCCAAAAAGCCCTAAACTCTGCACCCTAAACCCTGAACGCTGATCACTGCCTTGAACTGCCATCTGCCTTGCCTTGTCGGTCTAGGCTCTAATGCCATGCATGCGGATTGGGGGTTGAGGATGGTTGAGGGTATCTAGGTCGTGCCCAAACTCTTTCGGATTCCTCTAACGGTCCATCCCATGATTGCCACGCGATTGCCAAGCCGCCCTAAATGAACTAAACCTCAGGCCCTGCCCTGGTCCTGAACATCCCAGGTGCCGATGCCAGAAAGTTTTCACGTTTTCTTCTCGTGGGCAGTGCGCATCTCATCACCAAGCGTTCTCGCCGCCGGGCCCTAGATTAGAAGTCACGGCAGGTCATAGGGTATCGATCGTGTTTGCAGCTTTCCTTCCGCGACTTTTCGGGGCTTCAGAGGCCTGAGTGCAGCTTAGGGGCTTCAGAGGCTTTGGGAAAATGGGGTTGTGGCTGTGCCATAGAACGCTGTGCGTTTCATATCTTTAGTTTTCCGATGTCGCAAGCCGCAAGACATCGCAAGCCAATCGCAAGTTTCCGGACTGATCAACTCTGCGTTTGCTTTGCTCTGCCTTCCTAGCTTTCAAAAAAGACTCTCCGAGGCAAGGACCCACCACAGTCAAACCCAGCAACTTACTAACCAGAAAGGCGGCCCAAACCCTAAATCCCCCCTCCGTCTTCTGGTTCTTTTTTTAAGGTTGTAAGTACCCTAGCTCCCCAGGGGGCACCAGCTGGAGCCGAGGCCAGGAAAGCCAATGGGCTGGGAGTGGTATTCGACCATGCCGCGGAAAGCTGATTCTTGGTGCCTCCAGAGGGTTCAAATGGTTCAACTAGTTGTTGCAAGGGCGTAAGTATGGGTCGAAGCAATCCGCTTACATACTAAGCACCTACAGCCCAAGACGCGCACGCCAGTAGCAACTACGCATAGATGGATGCACCAAGGGTTGGAGGGTTTAGGGTTTTAGGGCCGTCACTGAGACTTACGACCCAGAAACCACCCAAGTCCTCAGGTCGGGCCTCATTGTTTTTTTTGTTTTTTGCGGGTCGCAGTTTCGCTGCAATCTATGGGGTGAAGGTGTGAACATCTTGAAGGATACTTGTGGCCAGGATGAGTTGTAGGATTTAGGAGGGCGAAGTTATGGTTTCCCTTGCCCTTTCTTGAAAATTTCTTCAGAGAGTACCCCCTTTTTGAGTCTTTTCGTTCATTTGAGTCGAAAGTGTGCTCGGGTTCAGGATTCGGGGCTGACGGTAGGCGTTGACGTCTGTTCATGACATGCTGGAGTATATGCAGCAGAGACAGTCGTACGTAGATTCTTGTATGCAAACGGTGTCTCGAGGTGTCCGTGTGCGTCTGCTTTTTGCCGAGTCCTGAGCCCCCAAGTTTCTACTGCCTGTAGCACCAGCTGCACCCTTGCAAAGCCGTCTCGACAAGCCAAGGAACGAAAACAATGGGCACAGAGCCTCCAGCAGAAGAGGAAGGACATGACAAGAACGGACGAGACGAAGGACACGAAGGAGAAACGGCACGAGAAGGAGAAAAAGGAAAAGAAGGAGAAGAAGGTTAAGAACAAAGAGAGGCAGTATCAGCTGATAGACATCGACACGAAGGAACCGGATGCCAAGAGACGAAAGGCCACAGGTTTATCATACGGGGGGGTTGGGGGTGTGCAGTGTAAGGGGGCCTAAAGCGGGCACATGGGCCCCACACCCCCTTCCCTTAGCACCAACCCTACTTCATACATAACTGCACATGAACCTTCAAAAAGTGGGTTTAGGGGCCCACCAAGATGGTGTAACTTCGACCTGCCCCAGGCCGCGCTCTCCCTGAAGACTTGAGATCGTATTTTGCGCAAGAGAAGCCCCAAACCCCTATAACCCCCAAGCCAGAACCCCTAAACCCTGAAATCCAGAACCCTCAGCCCCCTAAACCACAAATCTCCTTTTCCCCAAAAGGCCATATCTCCTAAACCTTGAAACCCCAAACTCTGAACCCTAAACCCATTTGTGAGCCCCCGAATTCGCCTTGGCGCAGGTATCCGAAGCGCTGGAAGACAGACCGATGGCCATGGTTAGCAGCCCGAGCCTTCATTAGAAGAGCAGATGGGTTGAGGGTTTAAGAGGTGTCGGGCTTAGGGATGTTCAGGTTTTAGGGTCGCCTCGGTTTGTGGCACGTCCCAAAAGCTCGGAGACATATCCAAGGCAGCAGCGGGGGCTGGCGGTTGCAGGGCTTCGACCAAGCCCATCTCAATGGCATCTGGAGGCGGGTTGCGCAAGATCTGCTTTAGGGTTTGGAGTTTTGGGTAAAGGCTTCTGAGACTGGGCCCAGGCTCTAAACCCAAAATCCCCCCACTCCCTGTGCCCTACCACGTCGCCCACTTGCATCCCAAACCTGCCCCACCCCAAATTCGTGACTCTTCCTGAATTTGCAAAAGGGGTCCTAATGTGACTTACGAGATATTGGGCTACAAGTGTGGGTTCCTGGGTGCTTTTATTTTCGTTTCAGGGCGAAGTGCAAAGTTTCTGCAGGAAGCGAGACGACCCCCACTACAAGCTGTTTGACCACAACGGTGTGCCCTACTCTTCAGTTTGGAAGGCGCGTCAGGTAATAAAGAGAACCCTCAGACCCACCAGTGGAGGTCTCTTCTCCTACACCCAAACCCGCAACCCAAAGCCAAGTGCATTGCTGTGGGACCCTTCGTGGGGCGAGTCATGGGGGCGACGTCCTCCGCGCTGGCTACCCCAATAGCATATCTAAATCCTGAATCCTAAACCCTGAATCCGAAGCCCTGAAGCCTAAATCCTAAACCCTGAAGCCTAAACCCTATCCGCGCGAGATGCAAATTCGTTCGCCAGTGTCAGGCTCCGCTTAAACCCCTAAACCCTGAACCCTGAACCCTGAACCCTCACCAAAGTCGTTCAATGTCGTCTTGCGCAGTCGTTGGCTCAGCGTTAAAGCCTTGGGTTTAGGGTTGAGAGTTTAGGGCTAAATCCTCAACCGTAAACCCCAGAACCTCCAACACTCTCACAACTAAACAAGTCATCTCAGAGGTATGCTAATTTTGGGGAACGCCCCTATTGCTTATTCAAACCGGCAAGTACCCCAACCGCTACAACCTTCAGAGTCCAGAAGGATGGAGGAGAGCTTTTCGCGTACTACCAGCTCCCTGGCTGAGGGGTCTTGAGACAAGGGCTGCCTCTCCCCCTGCCTCCTCCCCCCTACACCTACACCCTAAACCCTAAACCCTTTATTTCAGAGGTGCGATGCAAGGCTCAGGCCTGAGCCCTCAGTCTGACAACCAGACCAGGTTTAGGGTTTAGGGTGTCGGTTAGGGTAACCCTCAACTCCCTAAGTTTCTCAGGACGCCTGAAGCGTTCAACTTGTCAACTGGAGCTCGAGACGCCCAACATTTTGCCACCAGTTTGTGAAGCATCAAAAGAGACAAACCTTGCTGTACCCGGCTCACAGCAAACCGCCTCTCCGAAAGCCCAATGATTCGCAAATGGCAAGATCTTGTCATTCCGGCCACTGTAAAACTTCATAAGAACCCTAAAACCCAAAGCCCGAAAAGCCCTAAACCAAAAAGCCCTAAAACCCTAAAACCCTAAAGCCCTAAAGCCCCAAAGCCTAAGCCCCAAACCCTAAAGCCCCAAACGGAGCACAAGCCATCTCCAGCCTATGCTGCTCGGATCGGGGGCCGAGTTGCGGCCGGGTTCAGGGTTTAGGGCTTAGATCCGGGCACCGCCCCACACAGGTACGACAAGAGTCGCTGGGCCATGAGCCCTCGCATAGATGACACGACGGACGTGGACCTCTTCTTGCAGGTTCGTGCAAAAAAGAAGGACCAGACGCACAGTGATAAAAGAGCCTCAGGGCGAGCCACGCACCCCGATTTCTAAGCCCCAAGTTTGTGAGTGCCAGAAGAGCAAAGAGCCCCCTTGAGCCTGAAAAGCCAGGAGCCCAAAATCTCACTCCAGACAGTCAAAGTCCCAAGCCCTCAATCCTAAACCCTAAACTCAAGTGCAAGGAGCCGGGAATCCTCTTCTACAGCAACGATACCAAGTTGTGGCGCGAGAACCTGCCGGATGGTTTCTGGCCTCGGAAATTGGGGTGCGAACGCAAAACCCCAAACGCTAAACCCAAGCCCTAATGTTGACCTCGCTTTAATAACCCCACCCCCCCCGTCTCAATTGATTTTTGTCTACCCAAAAGGGCCCATGGAAAAAAAATCGGTCCCCAAGCCGGGATTTCTCATTATTGACGGGGGTTTATAATTGAGTTCCGGGATCCGGATTCCTTAATTACGGGGGGGGGGGGGTCTATAAATATGAGGTCAAGATTAAGCCCAAAACCCTGTGCATCTTCCACCCAGGTAATTGGAAATACCACTACCCGACAAATGGCGTTCAGTACTGGACAGAGCTCACCTCGGAGGCCCTTCGGCTATGAGGCCATTGAGGCTTCGGCTTGGACAGGTGTTGAGAGGTGCGCATTGGTTCAAGCAGTTTGCACTGTGGATCGCTGAGGAACTGAGCTGGCTGAGCATGGCTGAGCCTGCTGCGCTCGCCCCACGACGGTCGGTGGCTGTGCCCGCAGCACGCACGCCGGCATTTCTTGACAAGCAGCCTGGCACACCGAACTTGCCACCGCTTCAGCCAATTGCGGCACCAGGCACGCCGCTCACACCTTGGGGCACAGCAGCTCCCGGGACGCCGAACATGTGTGCAGGAAACGCTGCACCCGGCACACCACTTCAGCGCTGCAACGATGCGGGCGTCAGGGCTCCTGGCACACCAACGGGATGGCTGTCCTGTGAAACCCCACAGCTAGCAGCCGCTGCGGTCGGGGGTAGCACCTGGCCAGGAGGAGAGGCGACGGCAGCGACACAAGCCTTCCACCACGGCTTGCCTTTTCCTTGCGCTCCCAGCGCTCCCGGTGTTTCGGGCACTTCTTTCACGCATGCCGGGCCCAGCGCTCCCAGCACGAACTTCACGCCTTGCGCTCCCTCATCTGGCGCTCCCTTCGAGCTCGGCGCTGCTTGCGCTCCCAATGAACAGTTCACGGGCTTCACGCCCTGCGCTTCCAGCGCTCCCTTCACGCACCCCGTACCCGGCATTGGCTGCGCTCCTGGCGCGCAGTTTGCGCACTTCACGTCCGGCACTCCCGGGTCTCCTGGTCCTCCCTTCGTGCCCGCCAATTCCTGTGTTTCTGTCACGCAGTTTGAGCACTTCACACCCCGCACTCCAGGTCCCGCTCCCGCTCCCGCTTCCGCTCCCCGTCCCGCTACCGCCCCAGTGCCCTCGATGCCCGTGGAGCCTCCCAAGGCATCTCTGGCACCTGCAGTGGCACCTACACCACCTCCTCCCTCCAGGCCGGTTCCGAGGCCCAGCTGCGCGCCTCCCAAGCCACCGCCCAAGCCACTGCCCAAGCCACTGCCCAGAAAAAAGGACCGCAGCGCGACGCCACCAGGTGCCTCTGCTCTTGTGTTTTTTGCCACGCAATTCCTTCCGTACTAGCCCAGGCAAGTGTCCCTACATATGAATCTGTGCTACAGGCCACGCGCCCGGATCTCGACCATCCTTGTACATGCCGTAGGCGCACCTGCAGTCGGGGTTCCCTGCAAGCTGAAAGGGTCAAAGCCCTTAGGAGGAGCTTCCGTCATGCCGCTCTTGCGGGCTTAAAAGGGGAGAGGGTGTAGGGTTCCTCCGCCGCAGTGGGGTTTGGGCTGTGTTGATGTGATGCATCAGTGGGGTCAGGTTTGCAAGTCTACCGAGTCTACCGCTCTCCCGCAAGAAAGCTCCCACCTTGAACCCCATAATTAAACCCTAAACCCTAGACCCTAAACTCTGAACCCTCTCAACCAAAAGGCCCCCCCTAAAGCTTCGAAAGCCCCAAAGCCGAAAGCCTAAGACCTGGACCCGAGTTCTGGGGCTACTTCGTAGTCTTGGTGACTCGAACGGCCAGACCCTTTGAGCCTCCATAATCCCCTGCCCCTAAATGCAATCCCCCCCTACCCCCGAACATTGCATGTTCCCCATGCACCTGGAGTATAGCTCAACAAAAATGGGTAGGGGTACCCCAAACCCTAAACCCGTAACCCTCAAATACCTGAACCCACCCAAAGGCTCACTTCGATTGCGCGGCCGGCGCCGTGTGCGCCCGCAAGATGCTGCCCAGACTCGGACAAAAGAGAGACAATAGGGCTCAGAAGGGTTTGTGGGTCTATAAGATGTATAGTTATAAGATGATTTGACATGGGCTTATAGACAAGGAACAGCCTTAACCTCTCAGAGTTTAGAGTGGAAACGCAAGAAATCCGAAGCAAGAAGCAGACCCCTTGTGGCAAGCTGAGGATCTCTCAGAAATCTTTGGCATGGCAGAACCCTAAAGACCCTAAAACCCCTAGACCCTAAACCCTTAAACCCCTAATCACGCAAAAGGATCTCTTTCAGCCTAAACCCCTGAACCCTAAGCCCCTAAGCCCCTAAGCTCCTAAACTCCTAAAGGCCCGACTAAACCCCCTAAACCCCCTAAACCCCTTAATGCCCTAAACCCCCTAAATCCCAAAAATGCCGATGATAGGCCGACAGGCCTCGGCCCCGCAGGCTTTTTGGGTCGCAGCGCGTCGACCTCACAGGTCCTTAGAGCAGAGATTTCGGGGGAGTTCGGGAAGTAGGGTTTAGGGGGTGTAGGGATTTTGGGGTTTGGGATTTTGTCTTTATGGTCTTTAGGGGTTTAGGGGGTCTTTAGGCGTTTAGGGGTTTAGGGGCTCAGGACTTCTCCCTATGATGAGGCCCAGGAGCTTGAGGTTTAGGGGTTCATATCTCCCCTCATGACAAAGAGACGGATTTAAGCAGGGACCCCAAGCCCAAAACCCAAAACCCAGCAAAACCCAAAAACCCTAAACCCTAAAATCTAATCGGCCCTTCAACAAGAGGTTCATGGGTTGCAAGGGGGGCTCAAGGTTCAGGGGTTTTTGAGAGTTTTCAGGGGCCTTTGAGGGCTTTAAGGGCTTTGAGGGTTTAACTTTGCCAAGCCTTACAAGATTCAACTCCGCGGCAGAGACCTGAGACAGACCAAACCTAAATTTGGGCGCGGGCATTCATGGCAGAAACGTATCCCCAAACCCGAAACCCTAAACCTTAAATTTCTTCAGAGTTGCCTTAGCTGGCCTGGGCAAGCAGGAGGCAGTGTGATGAATAAAGCAATATCTTGGACTTAGGGTTTCAGGGTTCAGGGTTCAGGATTAAGAGGAAGACCATGAACATCAAATCTGATCACCAAGCCCTGCACCTCAAACCCATTGTAGCACATGGCCCTAAACCCTAAGCCCCAAACCCTAAACCCTAAACCCTAAACCTGGGCTTCGGGGCTCTGATGGCGCATCTGGTTGGAAGCTTTGTGGCGATACGCGGCTTCCACGACCCGCTACGTCGCTTGCCTCAGTCTACTCCCCTAGATAGCTGCTGGATATACTTCACAAAAAACTTCGATACTTAGGTCGCCCCAAAATGGCCCAATAGAATCCACCCCCCCCCCCCTTTTCGGCAAATGCTCCGAATCTCGAACAGAAGTGGCACCAGTATGTCTCATCACCTTGAGAGTCGGGTGTACGTCATCTCACCAACACCAGCTTCAGCTTAGGTTTTCGGGGTTTAGGGTTGACGGCGTGTGGTGCCCCCCAAACTTTGGAAACTCGAAATTTCAACTGACTGGGCACCTGGGCTGCAGGCCCCGCAGGGCGACAGGCGATCGCGATGGCGCAGCGGCCGCCGGAGCTGAAACCGAGTGCACGGTCACTAAGGCAGCTGCCGCTGCGGCTATGGAGCACAGATAGAAAGCCTGCGACTTGAAACTGAAAGGGTTTAGGGTTTAGGGTGCTCCTTAACAGGGTGATACAGGGTGTGCCATGCAGATGATGAGGGGTCAGAGGCTCAACAAACAGAGGGTGTTTGCAAGAGAGCCTGAGGGAGCCCCAATCCCCACTTTAAGGTTCGTGGGTAGCGAAAAGTCGGGTTATAAGTACGGCAACCCGTACAACCCTACTCATGACTACCCATGAACCTTCAAGTAGGCATTCAAAGCCACGTCTGCTTCCGTCTGAGGACCCCAAAGCCCCCTACCTCAAGCCTTAAACGAAACCCTAAGAGATTCCCCAAGGGCCTTTATCATGAACCAACCCTAAAACCCTAAGCCCTAATCCCTAAACCCTAAACCCTAACCCTAAACCCTAAACCCATGACAACAATGAGCTCTTGGACTCAAGCTTTTTGCTCGCAGCCCTGTAGCCTCGCAGCAGTGAGCTACGGGCGATGGGTGATGCTCGGGCAGTTCTGCTGCAAAGAGTGTGTTTTTTTGAGTTCGGGGTTGAGGGTTAGCCCTTTAGGAAGCCAGATAGAACAGTATGTAAACCCAATGTAGCGAGAGAGAGAGAGAGAGAGAGAGAGAGAGAGAGAGAGAGAGAGCGAGCGAGAGAAGACAGAAAGAGAGAGAGAGAGAGAGAGAGAGAGAGCGAGAGAGAGCCACACGACCGGCGGCCTATGAGCTGCCGAAGCAGCACAAAACTACGGGGCAGGCAAGACAAGCAAGACCAGGGACTTCGCGCGCCTTTCGGGGCAGGTCCTTCGGGAGGTTAATCGTGTGGAGAGGCAGAGAGAGAGAGAGAGAGAGAGAGAGAGAGAGAGAGAAAACAAACAAAAAAAGCCGAGAGAGAAAATAATCCCAGGCAAAGGCTCGGGCTTCTGCGTGGACCAGGGCTCAGGGTAATCTAGGTTTGGAGTTATATGAGCGTTTTCGGGAGTCGAGGTTTTGGGTCTAGGGTTTAAAGACGGCAACAGTTGCAACAGTGGCCGCAAGGAGGGTGACATGCACAATGTGCTGACCGACACGCAGCCCAAAAAGAAGGGGAAGAAGCTTAAGGCCTGTCGTGTTTGTGCATGAATGTTGTGGACGGCATATTTGAGGTCTCGTGGGCTGGGGGGTGGGGGGGCTAGGAAGTTGCTGAAGGATTGCGAGCCCTACGAACCTTCTGGGATTTGCTTAAGGACAAGCCCCAAAATGAAAGGCGAACTTGAGGCCTCCTGAAGCTATCCTTGGATCCACCCTCCAAGTCCTGCACAAAGCCCACAAATTCACAAATTCACAAATTCTTTGACCTGACCCCAAGTAAGTGCAAAATGGTCCAGTGCGGAGATTTTGCATTTCAGGAGGTTCATGCGTGCCTAAAGATCTTATCCCAATCACGACAGGACCTAGAGGGCTAACACCTGCGTTATAAGCGAACCCATAACTGTTTTGAAGCAGGGCTGTTAAAAGGGCTTAAGGTAGAATATGAGAGGGTTAAGACTGGAGATTTCAAAAGTAAAGGCCTTTGGTTCAAAGCGCTTCAGGGCTTCTTGAGGGTGTCCGCTGCAGGTTATTCGAATCAACTTCGCGAAAGAGGACGCCTGGCCGCATGCTTGCTTGGGGTTTAAGTGGTGATGTTCAGCAGGTTCGGGTCTAGGGTTTAGGTTTATATGGGCTGAGGGCCTTGGGGCTGAGGGTTCCAAGGTCAAGAGGTTTGTACAATTCCCTGCGCCAACTTTCTCGACTCAACGCCGCGCATCCTCCCCGCTCCAGCACAGCAAGCCCCCAACCCAAGTCCGAAATCATAGGATTCCCTTTTCAAGGGGAGCAAAACCTGAACTTAACACCAGTTTTTCGAAACCCGCCATATGGCACCTCCCCCGACCCCTCTTTCGGACCTTACGTCGCCCCATCAGGCGACTGAAGGCCTCCGGGCGGGTTTGGGGGTTCACAGCAAGCCCTCCTCCCAAGCCCCAAAGCCACAAAAAGGCTGCACACCAAGGGTCTTCGAGTCCCAAAGACCAAGCAACCCTTTCCGAGCAGGCGACTGGATCCGAACTTGCGCGCCTCAGCTCCACAAAGCTGCAGCAGGGCCACCGTGCAGCCTCGGATGGTGAGGCTTCTCACTCTGATCCGCCGGCCGAAGATACCGATCGGCCGTCCTCCTGCGCCGATCCGCGGTCCGAAGGCGCTGCTCCGCCAACAGCGGCAGCTGCTGACTCAGGTCATGGCAACGTGGAGGCCAAAGGCGCAAATGGGCCGACCGTGACAATTTCCCTTGCCATTCCGCAGGCCCGCGCAGATCAGGCAGTGGTCCACGCGGACCACATGGATTCTCTCGCCAAAAGACGCTCTCGGCTGGCGGTCGCTGAACAAAGATGCTCTCGGCGAACGGTCAACGTGGACCGTGACCACGCGGACGAAAAGATCGGTGCATGGCTCCAGGCGTGTGCAAAAAAGTTCAAGAAGGCGAATCGACCAGGTGGATGTCAAGAGCAGGAAGAGGAGGAAGAGGAGAAAGCGGAGGAAGAGGAAGAGGAGGAAGAGGAGGAAGAGGAGGAAGAGGAGGAAGATCCACATGTTCTGGAGAGGAACATCACACGCCTGCTCATCACACTGCTGCGCGGCGAGGGGCCCGACTATACTGCAATGGTTGACGGGCTGCTGGACGAGGCCGGCAACACTTCGTTTTGCATCTCTTCGTCCACTGCTGTGCATGGCGCATGGTTCCACAGGTGTTTTCTGAGTGTGCTGCTGTTCGGGAAAAGAGCCTCGGGCTGACTTTGTCTTCACTCAAAGGCGGGAATCCATCTACCACCGTCTTTCAAAAGCGAAATCCGGACCACCGCAGGCTGAAGTACCAAACTCAGCAAGTGTTGTCAGCTTCAGGGACGTAGCTTTAAGTGGGAGCTGGGTTGAGGGATGCACCTCCACCATGTCAACAGTTCGCGGACTCCCGAACGAGTTTGCGGCTTGGTGCGCATGGGCCCAGGTGCGGTGGTGCCTAAGTCCCTGGAAAGAAAGAATGAAAGAATGAAAGAATGAAAGAATGAAAGAATGAAAGAATGAAAGAATGAAAGAATGAAAGAATGAAAGAATGAAAGAATGAAAGAATGAAAGAATGAAAGAATGAAAGAATGAAAGAATGAAAGAATGAAAGAATGAAAGGAAAACGCAAAAACAAAAACATGTGGAGAGAGAAGTTCTCACCACAGCTGTGTTGTGTTGCAACTGGTGATACATGGAAGAGCCGGACCTGATAGTGAACACTGTCAGGTGTCAGGGTCTGTGTTTAGGGTTCGAGAAGGTGTCAAGCCCCTTAAAACCACAAAGCTCCGTTCAAGGGAGGCCGGAAACACCTTCTGTCGACCTTGCAGGTTCAGAAAGATTACCGCAAAGAGAGACTGCGGGAGCGCATGCGCACAATCCTTGGGGTCTTCGACTGTGAGAAGTCGCGGGTGGCTCGGCCTTCAGTTCATGCCTGTTCAGAACCACACACACACACCGCAAAGACCATTAAGGACCTAAGCCCATGATGCCATAATCCCCCTGACTGGCCAGAAGCCGCACAGCGACCAATGACCGAGGTTCAGGACGTCGACGCATTCAGTTTGAGGTTTCAGAACATCCTCTATGCCCCGGAGGTTCAGACGTCATTGAAAAGGATGCGAATCCCTGCGCCGTTGGCGTCCAAAGCAGAAGTGCTTGCAGCCATCGCCGAGACTGCCAATGAGGAGACCTTGGCCAAAGATGCCGTGGAAGCCCTCACCGCTGCAGCATGGCTGCAGCTGCGAGCGGGCACTGCGCTGGATAGTGGGCTGTGCATGGTGGCTTTGGCTTGCTTGTGTTTGGTCACCTGGAAGGGCCGCTACGGAAACATTGACGTACGGCCGGCGCCTAAGGAATCAGTTTTAATGATTTTGATGCCCTCAGGGCTTAGAAGTTTAAGGTCTAGCACTTCTTCTCGCAACGTGCTTGTGAGGCCTGCCTTGTGGACTCTGGTAGTCATTCAGGGCAAAGAGACGATGGAATGGCTGGCGCAAGTGGGCTTCTTTTTCTGGAGCCGCTTGCCTATCAGGCAAAGCGGGCATGACCAGCAGACAAATCAGGAAAAACCATTTTGCATTCCTGGGACAAGAACTCCGGTGCTGCGTATTGCAGATGCCATTTCCCACCCTGCTCCAAGCCTGGAGACCCTTGCCGATCTGGTTTTCCTCATTGCCGGCTACTTTGCCATATTCAGGCAGATGGATTTCTATGGCACGCGGGAGTTGGACAAGATTTTCTTGCCATGGTTCTGTGCGATGTATTGGCTCCGGCTAATGTACAGCCTGCGTGGCGAACGGTGGCTCGGGCCCTATCTCCTACCTATCCTATCAGCTGTTCGGGACACTGGGGCCTTCTTCTTTGTCACCTCCCTCTGCGTTGCTGGTGCGACCCACGCCTATGTTGTCCTCAACGCCAGAGAAGACGACCGTTTCCCAATTTATTCCGCCTTCACCCACACCGTCCGGCTGGCAATCTTTGGGGACTTTGACCTCTTTGAATTCCACGGCCAGGACACGACCTACATGGAGAAAGACGGGGTGTGGGAGCCGGACGACCCTGATCCCGAAGAAAATGGTTTTGTGACTTACATGTACCTGCAGCTCTGTTTCTTCTGCACAGGCGTGGGCGTGGCAGTTCTCCTCATGAACCTGCTGATTGGTATCCTAGGGCAAAATTACGAGCTTCACCAGAACCGTGCGCAAGTGCTGTTCGTGCAGGCCCGAGCGCGTATGTTGCTGGAGCAGCAGCAAAGGCCTTGGGCCAGGCTGGCCACGGCACTCCATCGCAAAGTGCTCGGCTTGGGCTACGGGCAAACCGCTTGCCGTGAGGACGAGCCTCATCATGATGCAGACGAGCCTCATCAAAATGGTGGCTGCATTGACAAGCTATTGCGGTCAGTATGCCGGCTGGGGGAGCTGGCGCTGATCCCTCTCCTGCCCATCATGCAACCCCTACATCCATCCAAAGAGATTTCCTACCATCAGGAGCGAGTCTTCAAGCGTTTCGTGCGGCGCATATTGTGGAGACCGATGGAGAACATCCGCTGCCGTGCCCTGGTCATCCCTGCAATGTCTTTGCTGCTACTGCCTGGAGCAGTGGTATGCCTGCTGAGTCTCATGGGATTTGCAACCTCCTGCGTGCTCCTGAAGATCATTGGTGGCCAGATCAAAGGCTGCCTGTGTTAATTAGGAAGCTACCTACCTTGTTATGAAGCTACCTAACTTCAAGTCCTCAAACTAGCATGGCAAGGCCTTCGCTATTTGATCAACTTCAGCGTTTTTGGCCTCTTTGGCGATCACTTTGCCGACGAATGCCAGATCTTCGCGCTGGCCCCTTGGCAGCTCTGCTCCGCGCGACCGCAATCTCCCAGGGCGTATTCTAAGGTGAATATGGACGGATTTCAAGTTCTAATAAGATTTAATTTCGAATTTAGTCCTTCTGCTTGTAAGGTTCAGGGTTGCCTTTGGAGAGCCTGGATTTGAATTTAATCCTTTCTGCTGTAGAGGTTGAAATTCGAATTTAACTCCATGTTCTTTCTCCCCCACCGTACTGCGGAATTAAATTCGAAGTTAATCCTTCCTGGGTTTCAAGGGACTTAAATTCAATTTAAAGCCTATTACCAGTGCAAGGTCTTAAATTCGAATTTAAGCTCCAGGTTTTAAACTCGAATTTAACAGCTCTACAGTGTCCTCTTGTCGGTGTTTAAATTCGAATTTGAAGCCTTGCAAGGTTTCCTCTTCAACAAGATTTATATTCACACTTAAATCGTCTACGGTTTCGTCATATCCAAGTTCAGGATGCAACTAAGGGTTTACTGCTCAAAGCTTTGGTTGTGGGCGGTTCTGAATTAAGATCCTCATACCGACAAGCCCTGAAGCTAAGACCTTAGGCCAAAGACCGAGACCCGATAACTTTAGGCCCAATCACCCGGAATCTCCGAACCCTCGAGGCTGCCCAACACCCCTGAACGCTAAGTCGAAAGCCCACTAACCCCGTAGCCCTGAATCTTCAACCTGAGCCCTAAAGCCGAAGGCCCAGCAGACCATTAAACCTTCATGATCAGACCGTCAGAACCTCAGCCCCAGACCCGTAGCCCCGTAGACCCCTTAACCCGTAGACTGCAAAACCTTGGACCCTTTAGACCCTTCGACCTCCACCCTCAGACCCTCTAGACTCGCAGACCCCCAGACGGCACACCTGAGACCTTCAGACCCAGAGAAATTGAAGCGCTTGGACCTGTAGACCCTTCGGCTAAAGGCTAAAGACGGTTAAAATTCAAATTTAAGCCATGATCCAGAAAAGGGCATAAATTCGAATTTAAATCCTTCTCGTGGTGGGTCCTGGCGGCTGCTGCTTGGTTCAGAGGTTTTTAATTCGGATTCAAGCCGTCGGGATGCTAGGGCTCCGCCCAGCCCAGGGAGGGCTTGTCTTTGAATTCAATCCTTTTTTAAATTTGAGATCCGGCTTCATCCATTCTAAGGCTTTAAGAGGTTGAGGGTTTAGACGGTCTAGGGTTTATTCTTGGGATTAGGGAGTGTTTTTAGGGTTAGGGGTTCAGGGTTTAGGGTTTCTGCGTTTCTGCTCGGGTTTAGGGTTTAGGGTTTAGGGAAGTTGTCACTGAGCGGCTTTGAAGCTTCAGCAGCTGCGCTCATCTTTCGTCTTTCAGGAAGCAAGGTCTCTGAGGCATCGCCCAGACCCTAAGAAAATGTGCCCTCGAACCCCAAACCCCAAACCCCAAGCCCCAAACCCCAAACCCAGCAGAACAGCCGAGGTTCGCAAGGAGCCCGGCATGGATGATCTGCGAGGCATGCGCGCTGAGCTTAAGGACCGGGGCCTCTTAGAGTTAAGGCTGGAGGGCTGACTAAAGCCTAAACCCCAAACCCCAAACCCTAAACCCTAAGCGCCACAACACTGCCACAACCATAAGCCCATAAGTGCGAGTTCAGGGTTAAGGGGCCCTGTACTGCAGAGCTGCCGGTTCCAGCGGGCCAAGGAGTGTCCCTGAATGGAGCCATATAGGTTTAGGGTTTATTTGGGGTTCAACGCCCGCTTAGCTTCCTACTAAGAACCCGGAAGTCTAGAGGTCTGTCCATGCCGCCGAAGCGTTAGGGCGGATAGGTTCGGTTTAGGGTTTTAGGTAGATGTCCTTTCGGGTGGCCTGAGGAGAAGATACAACGCCTGGAGAACGAGCTGCAGGAGCAGCGCCAAGAACAGAAGGACACACTTTTTCTCAGCGTGCTGCTTTCGCAGTAGCATAAATAGTGCCGGTGCGGTCCTAACCTCGAACCTTTAAATTTCAGCCCCTAAACCGTTAGAACCTTGTATAGCCGCCAAAAAATCTCAAAACCCCGAAGCCTTAAGCCCTTTACGTACAAAACCCTAAGCCCCTAAAGTTCCCGAGCTGTACTTCCCCAAGCCCTGAACCCATCCCAACCTTTAGTAGTTCTAAGCTGCCATAGGGTTTAGGGTTTCATGGTTTAAAAGTTTAATTCGGCGGGGGCTCCGGGTTGATGGGCTTCATGGTTTGGTCAACGCTGTGCGCGCGCTGCCTCGGCCGTCGGGCCGGGCCCAGCCACGTGACCGGTACCTCGAGGTCCAGCGCTGGGCTGCGTACAAAAAGCCCGCAGGCAAGAAATGCAACAACAAGATCTCACAAGAGAGGTTGCAGGAAGTTGGAGAGGAAGAGGAAGACGAGCTGGAGGAAGACATCGCGACAGAAGTCCCAGGCATTTCCCAGGCCTCGACAGGCGGAGGGGTTCCAGGAAGGTCCACAGCTATCCGAAAGTCTTCTTGTTCCAGACGCCAGTCTTCGGCCGAAACGCATTCCTAAACCCCGAACAGTGCCACCCGGAGAAAGGCTGGACAAAAGCCCAACACGCTACGCCCCAAGCCCTAAACCACAAACCCTAGCAGGCGAGCCTGGATGCAATGGGCAAAAAGATAGACGCCCTTCTGAATCTGGCCCGTGCTGAGACCGCTGAGACCCAGCACTCGTAGCACGGGATCCAGATTTTGTGGTGCGGTTTTGTGTGATCAGCAATGCTTTGCAATCAGCAAAGGATTTACGTTGAACTTCTGCCAAGTACTGTTGCAATCAACACAGAACTAGATGACTTGCTCAGCTGAGGAGCCCGCCGTGGTTTCAGTTATGTGATAAGTTACTACTCGTGAATGAACTTGGATTCTGCACCAGCTTAGCATAGCTTAGCCATGGCACGGTAGTAGTAGTAGTAGTAGTAGTAGTAGTAGTAGTAGTAGTAGTAGTAGTAGTAGTAGTAGTAGTAGTAGTAGTAGTAGTAGTAGTAGTAGTAGTAGTAGTAGTAGTAGTAGTAGTAGTAGTAGTAGTAGTAGTAGTAGTAGTAGTAGTAGTAGTAGTAGTAGTAGTAGTAGTAGTAGTAGTAGTAGTAGTAGTAGTAGTAGCCATTGGGCGCATGCAGAGCAATGCTCAGCAGCTGCGCCAAACTTTAAGAATGCGGCACGACAATGCGTGATGTTCGAACACTCGTCAGAGCAGTCATGCCGCTTGATTTGTTGATTTGCCAGCAGACCTCTTTGTCCGCGCTTGGTCCCAACAAAGAGCCAACGGTCTTTGGTTCATCGCAATCAAGGTCTAGATGAATTGCTGATACGGGGAGCCGTCGTGCTTGTAGTTGAGTGAGGACCACGTGTGAACCAAACTGGAAAGATTTTGCCAACGGCTTGCAGGTGGCCTGACCAATGCTCAGCATCTGCGTACATAGCACTCGATGATGTCAATGCGGCATGGCAATGCATGATGTTCGAACAGTCATCGGGGCAGTCATGCGCTTGAATTCTTTGATTTGGCCTCAGACCTCTTTGTCTGCGCCTAACGAGCCGACGGACGTTGCTTCATGCGGGAGCCGTCGTGCTTGTAGTTGAGGACCACGTATGAACCAAACAATGCTCCGCAACACCAGAGATTAAAGGCAGAACAATGCGTAATGTTTGAACTGTCAGGGTATTTGGGAGGGTTCGGGGTTGAGGACTTAGAGAGTTCAGGGTGTGGGGTCCAAAATTGGACGATGCAGGAGGCTTTCGGGTTAAGCTCGAAACAGGTCGAGGCCAAAAGTCTGCTGCGAAGCACCCCTACTGCCATCTGATGAACACATATGACTACCGTAGCTCCTGATGAATATTTTTTTTTTGGGAGGGGGCTGAAAGTTGTTGGAGTCGCTGCCGCCTCCAGTGTCCTGAGAGGGCATCATAGGCACTGGCTCTGTCTTTGTCCCTTGCCCCATGGCAGCTGCACTTGTCAGGCAGCTCCGCTTTGCGCTGGCAGGCCTTCTTGTGCTGGTTCGGCAAGCCCACAGCGACGCAGGTTGCCAGATCGAGACCACAGCCGATGACATCGTGGCTGGTTTGGACATCCGAGACAAAGTTGCCGTTGTCACAGGGGGAGACAGCGGCATGGGCTACGAGGTTGCCCTTTCCCTTGCTCGGGGCGGTGCTACAGTCTGTATCGGGAGCCACAATGAGACTAAGGGAACAGCAGCAGCGCAGAAGATCATCGACAAGATTCCTGGTGCAAAAGTGCGGTCGTTCAGCTTGGACTTGGGTTCTTTCTCGAGCGTGCGCACTTTCGCCACGCAAGTCCGAGAGAGCACCGGCGGTGGGATCCACATGTTGATCAACAATGCCGGGATTTACGACAACGAGGCTAAGGCAACAGCCGACGGCTTCGAGGTCATCTTCCAAGTCAACTATCTGGGCCATTTCCTTCTCACTGAGCTGCTCTTGCCTGCCTTGCGCCAGGCCAAGGGACGGGTGGTCAATGTCGCCAGCGAGCAGGAAGGAGTGGCCTGCAGGCTTGCTGGCTTTCCGGACGGATGCCTGCATGGCTTCGACTACCTCCCGGTGCCGGTGATTCCAAAGCACAACGTGACGATGGCCGATGGCTTCTCTATGCCAGCAACGACGTATGGGATTGCCAAGACCATGTTGATCGAGCATGCCGCTGCCCTGGCGCTCCGCGAGGATCCTTCCAAGGTGGCGGCCTTTGCAATCACACCAGGGTATGTTAACACATCGATCACAATTGGCGATAACGTGACGCGACGGTGCCTGACCCAGCCGCCACCAAATCCATGTCCTTTCACGCCGCAAGAAGGTGCAGCAGTTTCGGTGTACTGTGCCGCCGCCGCAGCTGAAAGCTTATCCGGAAGCTACATCTCCCGGGTTCTGGAGTGCTCGCCTCAAGAGCCTGTCCACAATGGCTTTACAAGAGCCATGCTTCCCGAGCTCTACAGCCGATCCCTTCAGTGGGTCGGCTTGTCGGAGGAGGAACCATCTCTCTTTGCATGAGGTGAGTTCTGGGCCGGAGGGGTCAACCTCCCTGAGATTCTTGACCGGTGCTTGGCCGGTGCTTGATCAAACAGAAGTCGTGCCACAATTCATGATGTGTGCCTAGGTGATGTGTGTTGCAGCATCTTGTCTGGTTTACATTCTGCTCCAGTGCCCACAGTACGCGAGGACGCCTGTAAGCGTGGGCCGTGAAGATGTGCAATCGTGTGTCTGGACTGTAGCAGCCGTCTTCTGAAGTCAGCCAATATTGTAAGGTTGCATGGAGTCAATGGGTTTGCTTTCCGTAGCCGAAGCCCGAAAGCATCGGTAGGTCCTTGACCCCAAATCCTAATTGGCCCAACGCATCTAAAAGTTTCCATGGGTTGACAGGGTAGCTTCTCCCTGCTGCTGCAGCTCTGGACGATTCCAGAAGTAGTTCCCACTTTGCCATGTGAGACCGCGCTAGGGCGATGTCAGCCTGCAGCCGGATGGTGCTGGATTTGGCTACGATTGCAGTGGACCCAGCCATCCGCACTTGTTCAACCCACCGCCACGAGGAGCGGAGGACGCTTCAATGGCAACATAGTTTCCTGCGTCCAGAACTGTTTGAAGAAGGTCAAGGTCAAGAACGTGTTTCTGGCTTTCTGGACGACCGTCACCAAGCTGGTGGAGTGTGTCGTTGATGTCGTGGAGATGGTGAAGGATTTCTGCGGCTGCCTGGAGGACGTCTTCAGCGGGCAACGCCAGCGCAATCTACGGGGAGTCCGGGATTTCATCTCTAAGCTTTGCGTAGCTTCTATTACCAGCTAATCAGAGTCTTTTCCACATTTAAACGTTAAACCTAAACCCTAAAACCCCTAAGGAACCCTGTCGGGAGCAGCCCAGCGAACTGCCAAGAGCGATGCAGCAGCATACCGGGCTGCGCCCACTTCAGCCACTGGCCCGACGGAGGCTGCCACATCCAGGGGGTTCAGGGTTTGGGGGTCTACGGTTTCGGGTTTTCGGGTTGAGGCTTTAGGGTTTAGGGTTCAAATGCTACATCCTTCCCCTTAAACCCCCGAACCCAAAGGCCTGAGCCCTGAACCCTCTGAGCCCTAAATCGTAAACCCTGCCTGACTAAAACCTTCAACCCAAAGCCCGAAACCCTTAACCCTAAAGCCTTTAACCCTGACTGCAATCCTAAACCCGAAGCCCGAAACCCTAAACCCCAAATCCTAAACCCTAAACCCCCAAACCCACAGACCTGCGAGGCGGTCTCCGCGACCCCGGCTATGGAGCCCCTACCGGCTGCTGGCCTGGAACGGGTTTAGGGTTATAGAGTTAGTAGCGTATGCATTAATTATTTGTCGGTCCGTTATGCACGGGGTGCTTGTAGGGTTTGGGTGTGTTGGGTTTGGGTTCGGGTTTGGGTTTGAGGTGTAGGGTTCAGGGTTCACAGCTTAGTGGCTTAGCGACATGGGGGCTCACAGATTGTTGAATTTTTCCTGCCTGCGCATTTGTGACGCCATGGGGCTCTTATGTTGGAAGTGAAGAGCTCAAGGATATGACTCATACTTGAGGTTCATGGGTCGCTAGAAGTACTTACTTAACTAAGGTGAAAATATCCCAACTACTTGGGGGACACCTGGCAGTACACGCGCTGAGGCAGGAAGTCGGTGAGGGGTGCAGGGCTTTGGGAACGGGGGCGCGTTGGGCGTCACATGGCGTCGCACGGCTCACGGCGCACATGGCGTTGCAATTTTGTTTTGTTAGATACTCGTGAGGCGGCACGGATCCAGGCGCACGAGTTATAGTGTTGCATTCTGCTGCGTTCATATCATGGGATGTTACCTTGGACCGCTAAGGTTGTACCCTTGGGTTTTGAGGACCCGTTGTGAAGATCCTCTAAGGGAAAGAAAGTAAGGGAACCTCTTAGGGGTACATCCCGAGGGGCCGAGTATAACTCCCTTGATCAGAAGCGGTGCAACAGTGCTGCCAGATCTGAAAATGTAATCGTCTCACGAGATTGCTCATCGCCACAATTGAGGCAGCGTGATTCTCAGTTGCACATGGCAGTCAATGCGGCAGGACATTCTTTCTCAGATTTCATTTGTGTGTCCACGGCCGTACCTTGCTGCCTCAATGTGACAGGGATTGCGCGACGTGAATCACGCCTTGACGCTTCCCGTCAGTGCTTTGCCCGCAAAGCTGGCGAACCACCACGCGTCAGAGCAGACCGTGCAAGCATGCGCACCCATGCAAGCAGCTCTTGTTGAAGCGTTGCTGACCCCAAACCCCACACCCCACCCCCCAAACCCCAAACACCAAACCCAAGCCCTAAACCCCAAACCCGAAACACCAAACCCAAACCCTAAACCCTAAACCCTAAACCCTGGACCCTAGACCCTAGAGCCCAGACCCTAGACACCCCAGACCCTGGACCCTAGACCCTATTCCCCAATCCCTAAACCCAACCTGCAGGGTCCAAGCTTTGATAGCCGTGTCGGCTCTGCGCACGCCATGGCATCCGTCGGGGCGGCCTCCGGGGTCTCGGGGGCCGCAGGAGGCCTCAGAGCCCGGCCCTTTTCCGCACGAGGCGCTGTCTCGGGTTTGGGGGTTTGGGGGTTTGGGGGTTTGGGGGTTTGGGGGTTTGGGGGTTTGGGGGTTTGGGGGTTTGGGGGTTTGGGGTTTAGGGTTGACGGTTTAGTTTAGGTTTAGGGTTTAGGGTTTAGGGTATAGGGCATTTAGGGTTTAGGATTTCGGGTTAGGCGGAACTCGTTTTGAAAAACTTAATTTTCATTTGGGCCTTGTTTGGTCCCAACCCCTTAAACCAGTGTTTCAGGTTCAATCTCGGAAGCTGGAAGTTGATAGATTAGATTTCGCAAGTCGCAGGTTCTGGGTTGGAAGAGCAATTCTGTGAACATTTCAGCAAGCCTTCTGCACAAGGCCGTGTGCAGTTGTGGAAGTCCTGAATATGACTGTGCGCATGTGAGCTTGACACTGTTCCACACGCACGCGAACGCGCACACCAGAGGGCCATTCACTGCTTTTAACGAACTTAAGGAACGTAGGTTACCATAATCAGGACACCGTCGTTTTTGTGTCTATCTTCGAAAGCCATGGACATGAATTGGCTTGTGAGACTGATATGGTAGCAAACGGGGCCACGGTACACAGTAGCGTGCGGGTGTAGAGGTTCTTAGGCCATCGGAAGGTCGCCTGACCCGCGAGCCTGCTGCACGGGAACCGTCCGTCCTGGTGCATGGCTGCAACGAACCGCCGCCGGATGCCGGAGGAGCATCTAGGGCTTGTGGAATAAACCCTAAACCCTGAACCCCACAGAGGTTTCAGTGGCATTCTTGGGGCTCTTCGTAGCATCGGGTTGAGGCACAGGACCTAGGATGACCCAATTCTGATTCTCGTAGATTCGCCTGGTAAAGGTGGGAATAGGACGATACTAGAGCATCTAGAGCCTTCCACTTATCCTATTTTTGAGGGCTCGACTCTCCATAAACAAACCATATAATGAAAATTATGATTCCTCCCCCCTTTTTGGGATCTCCAGGGACATACATTTCCTACTGGGGTTTAGGGTTTGGGGTTTAGGAACCGGGAAGCTTCTGACTTGCATCTGCAAGGAGCTGGACTTCAGGGCCCTGGCCATTTTCGGCACTTTGCCAACACGTCGAGGGCCGTGATTCAGGAGGGGCCCAGGGCTCTGCATGGGTTGGGGCATTTGGGGTTAGGTTTCAGGGTTCAGTGCTCAAGCCCCGGGCAGTTTAGGGTGTGGAGGTCAGGCAGAGGGATTTAGTGGGTTTAGGGTCTTTCAGCCCTCAACAAATATGAAGCTGTTTCACCAGCACCTGCTCGAGGCAAGCACGCCTTCAACTTCAAAGGAGTTGCATTGGGCCTGTATGAAGGTTTGTAGTTATGAGCAATGTCGGCTACAAGTGAGTTGTACTTCTAGTTTTCCAAAACTCAGAAAACCAGCCATGTCCACCCAAGAGCCTCCAAGGGTTTAGGGTTTAAGGTTTGTGTTTGGTTGCTTTTGACCCAAGGTTCGCGCCGATGTGACAAGGGCTGCACGTCTCCCATGGCAAAGCGTAAACCTTACACCTTTTCCGCTGCCAGACCTCAAAGCCTCAAGTCTTAAGCTCCAAACCTAAACCCTAAACCCTACGCCCTAAACCCTACACCCTAAACCCTCAAACTTAAACTAATGTGAAGCCCGGTAGAAAGACTCGTTCTGCAGCGCAGGATCCGCTTCGGCAAGGCGACCAGATCGAGCGCGAGCGCCTCCGATAAAAGTTTCTTCTAGCCCGGTTTCGGGTTTAGGGTTTGTAGCCTGGACCCTAATCCCTGAACCCTGAACCCATAAAGCCCAAACCCTAAACCGGGGTTCAAGTATTCCCAGAACCTAAAGGCCCTGTCACAAGCCTTGCAGGCAAGGGTCTGCTCATGCTTCAAAGAAGTCGGGCAGGTGAGTCGTTGAATCCCTAAGCACTTGAAGCCTCCGAGCTCTAATCCCTTATAAACCCTGTAAGCCCTACAAAGCCTATAAACCCTATAAACCAGAAAATTCTACAATCCCCGATGCGACCCTTTAAACCCCTAGAAAACCCCATTAACCGTGTAAGGCCTATAAACCTTTAAGGCCTTGACCCCAAGCCTAGACCGTAAAGCGCTAAACCTCCTAAACCCTAGCTGTGGCAAACGCAGCCTGGATTTTCGGAGGCCTGGTGTGTTTTAGGGCTTTGTTGTGAGATTTTCGGACTGCAGAACTTTAGGTTTGTAGGGTTCTTAGGGTCTTGGGGTTTTCGGGTGCCAGGGTTGCCTGTTTTTGAGTTAGTCGTGTCAGGACCATTAAGCATTCGGCAGAGGCCCTACAGCCCCTAAGCCCTCAGCCCTAAAAACAATGCCTACCAAACGACAACAAGGAGTTCTTGACCCGACACCTCAAAATGGCTGAGAGTCCTTAAGGCATTCTAAGACGTGCCTGAAGGCCTTAGAGCCCTAAAAACCCTGCACGCCGCTCACAACCCCCCCTAGAAGTCGCACAAGCCCCCAAAAGACACCCACCTCAAAAAGGACCCGAAACCCTTAAACCCTATAACAAAACTATAAAGACCCCACGAAGCCCCCTTGCTTTGCCAAGTCTCCAGTTCTACAGCATGCCCCGAAAGTGCACCTGCCAAGGCACCGGGGCTTCCGGTTTATGATTTTAGAGTTTAGGGTTTGGGGTTTGGGGTTTGGGGCTTTAGGGTTTGGGGGTTTGGCCCGATTGTGGAGGGCCATCTAACACCTTTCTCACACCCAAACCTATTCCTTTTCAGGGTTTGGGCCTACAAAAATCTTCTTCGGTCAAAAAGTGGAGGGGGGGGTGTAGAGGGAGGTTTGGGTGCTCGAAAAACCGCTTTTTCGCCAGAGGCATCGAGGGGCTTAAGCCCCCCCCACCCCCACTGTGGAGGGGGGGCCTAAGCCTTGATTTTGTGGTTTAGGGTTTGGGGTTTAGGGTTTAAGGTTTGGGGTTTAGGGTTTGGGGTTTAGAGCTTAGGCGGGCTTTGGGGCCAGGGTTTGGGGGCTTCAGGGTTTTGGAGGTGTTTGGGGATGTAGGGTGTGGGGGGCTTTAAGTGTTTTGGGGTTCCAGTTATCTTTTCTGGTTTGGGGTTTAGGGGTTTCAGGGTTTGGGGGGAGATGTTGCTCTTAAGAGCCTTAGTTCTTGTTTCGTTTGGGGGGGGGGTTCAATAGAGGGTTCAAGGGTTTTGGGACTTTTTTCTTGGGCTCAGGGTTTAGGCTTTAGGCTTTAGGGTGGTTAGGTTTGGATTAAGGTCCGGTGTTCTTCAGGTGTATAACCTTTCAGCCCTAAACTGTGAAACTGTCCTTCATCGTTTAAGCCCATCAAGCTGTAGGTAGGACTCACAGGCTCTTGTTTTAAAAGTCCCGAACCCCTTCCTCAACCCAAAACCCTCCTAACCCCAAACCCCCAAACCTCAGGCCGAGAGTGTGGGCCGATGCGTACTTTGGACGTGGCGAGGATCAACAAAGAACGCCGCTAGCCAAGAAGACGGGGCCCTCAACGACAACCTAAACTTTAACCTCTAAACCCTAGACTTTGACCCTAAACTTATCCTTCAACCCTAAACCCTGAGCTCAGTGAAACCCTGGATTTTAAGAGCCTAAACAAGGTTCAAAGGTTGAGCCAGAATGTGTCGACTGCTCATTTTGTCCGAGGCCACAACTGGCAGCGCATCGCGCCCTGGCTGCTGTTGGGAGGGTTTCGGCTTGAGGTTTAGGGGGTTTAGGGGTTTAGGGGGTTTTTCGGGTTTAGGGGTGCAGGGTTTAGGGTCTAGGGTCTAGGGTTCGGCATTTAGATTTAGGGATTTCGGCCTGGTTTCCACACCCTTCCGAAGCCCCAACCGCCAACTAAAAAACAAGCACGTAGAACGAAGATGAGCTTCACCAAAAGCCAGTGGAGTCTGGGCTTTACGAGTGTGGCTTCTAGGTTGTTGGCAAGTTCAGGACACTTTCCAGACACCCTATGGCAATGGCCAGGCGCGCATGGGCTGAGGGGGAGATGGGGTCGAGTCGTCGAGAGCCCTGAACCCTAAACCCCTGGGCTCACAAGAGCCCAAACTCTAAACCCCAAAGCCCTAACCCCAAAGCACAAAAGCCCGAAAACCCTAAAGCCCGAAAGCCCGAGACTTTGAGGAGGTCCGCAGATGTGCAAACCCCCAAACCCCTAAACCCTAAAGCCTAATCCCTGAACCCTAAACCCCAAACTCGAAACCCTAAACCCAAAACCCTAAGCGTGAAGAGGCATCCTGGGAAGGATCCCAGCAGAGGACGCGGACTAGCTCCCGCGACCGCGCCAGGGCCATGAGCACCCAGGTGGGTTTAGGGTTTAGGGTTTATAGGCTTAGGGTCACGAAGAAGGTTTTGGGTTCAGGGTGGTGGGTTGCGGGCTTAAGGGTTTTGTAAGTTGAGTAGACTAGATTGTAGAGCCGCGGTATCCCAGTGATAACCTTTTGCCCCTTTATGGTGAACAAAAACGGGTACAGTCCCAACCCCACCCCAGTTCAGGTTAGCACTTTAGGGCGGGTGGGGGTTTCGGGTCTAGGGTTAAGGGTTTCTTTCGGGTTGCAGCGTTTACGGTGCGGTCGAGCTGGTAGGGCCTTTCGTGCAAGTTATTGTGAGCCCCTTTGCCCCGTAACCGCCGTAAACCCTCCATAGCAGGGACCCTAAACCCCAAGGCAAAGGGCGCATTGGGACATGGCCGCAAGAGAGTACAAATCTGCAGCCTCAATCCCCCCAAGCCGAAACTTAACGCCATCTGAAAGCCTGGAACCCAAACAAGCTGAACATCTGAAAAAACGCCATGAGAAAACTCCCGCAAGATTCCGAAAATCCGAAGCCCACACGCCCTAAACCCTAAGCCCTACAACCCTTGAAACCTACACTCGCCACCCCTAAGCCTTGGACCCTAAATCCTTCCACGCCCCAACGCTTGCCAGGCGCTTGCCGGATTAGGGCTGGTCTTGCCGTGGCATGTTTACGCACTTGAGGAGGTTTTGGGGTTTATGGTTTAGGGTTTGTCGGGTTGCGCCCTCAAAGCTAAACCCGCCAAACAATAAGAAAGCAAGGGAAGGGGGGGCTTCAGGACGGGAGTTTAATGGGGTTGCTACACCTTGAGCCCTGAAAGCCTAAAGCTTGAAAACCCTGAAGCCCCAAAACCCTGAGACCCTAAGACCCTAAGACCCCAAAAACCCTAAGACCCCCAAATCCCTAAGACCCCAAAAACCCAAAGACCCTAAAAACCCTAAGACCCTAAGACCCTAAACCCTGAAGCCAGTTGTGCGGGAGTTTAGGGTCGCAGTGCTAGGTTCAGCTCTTGGCGGTTTTGAGGGGTTGAGGGCATAGGATGTACGGGGAGCGCCGGGCCTACAGTTAATGAAGGGTATTTCTGGGGTGGGTGGGGGGGGGGGGTGGCATAGAGTTTGGGGGTTTAGGGTTTTTGATTTAACAGTTTGGGGGGGGGTCAGTGTTTAGGATTTCGTGTTGATCCCGAAGCTCTCCGAAGCCTTTTCAACCTAGAAAGACAACCCTCTCTGAACCTTAGTCCTAAACCCTAAACCCTGAACCCCCTAAACCCAAACCCCAAACCTTGCCAGGAGCTGGAGGACTTACGTCAGGGGCCCGGATAAGCTGCTGGGGCATCCGGGGCATGCAAACTCTGAAAGGCCTAAACCCTAATCCTTAAATCCGCAAACCCCTAGAATTCCTAGTCCCGAAATTCGCAAGCCCCTGGCCCCTCCAAGCCCTAATCTCCAGAACCCCGCAGATCAAGGAGTCGGCAGCAAGGTATTGGAGAAGCCCGGTCAATCCCGAACCACCCCCGCCCCTCGCTCCCTAAACATCGGGATTTCACACCTAAATCTTTCAACTCTCATGATGGATGATGGAGCCCTTATTCTTGGTTTTGTTTTTTTGGCGGGGCAGGTGCCGAAGTGCGAACCGGCCTGGCTGACGCCAAAGAGGAGCCCGGTTTAGGGTTTGGGGTTTCGGGCTTGAGGGGTTTGGGGTTGGGGGTTCAGGGTTTCGCGCTTTTAGGGGTTTAGGGCTTCAGGGTGTCAGGGAGGGCGGCCTTCGGTTGCTCCATCACGACGAGAAGTAACGTTTCAACAGCCTCCGGTTTCGTTACGCAAAAACCCCATAAAGATGCCAAAGCCTAAGCCGCAGGATCTGAGCCAGACCATTGCCATGGCTGTGAATCAGATCATCTCCGAGCTTCGGCAAGACGCCGCGTGACCGCGAAAGAGTTTCCCTTAATATGCTCTCAATATGGCCCTTATATCTTCATTATCCTCTTGGAGCACCTTTAAAAATGCACCCAAACCCAAGGGTACTACCTTAAGGGGCCAAGGTAGAGTCCCAAGAGTTTTAGGGTTTAGGCTTTGGTGGGGTTCTCTGTTGTAGTTTGGCGCGTCAGACCCTAAACTCTGAACCCTAGTTCAGAGAACTCGCCGTATACTGTCGAAAAGGGCGAATCATTTCCGTGCGCAGGCCCCTTGTTTCAAACGTATCCTGCTTCCCTTGCGAAACCCAACCCCCCAAAACACTTGAAACCAAAACTCTAAACCCTCGACCCTGCACAAATGGTCTTATCCTCCAGAGCTTGAACTCGATGTGGCTACGACTTGCATCAACGAGCAAAAAGTGGTCGAAAGGAAAGTCGTGGCTCGGATGAAATCTCTGATCTTGTACCAGACCCAGAGCAAGTACAACCACAACAGCCGAATCTGCTTTCCCAGATCTGTGAGATGTCAGGCTTCGATCAGGTATCGTATTCCGAGGACTCAGTGACACAGGCAAAGAGCATGACGTGGCTTGAGGACACTTGGACACCCAACCCCCTACTGTAACCTCTTCAGAGATCTTTTTGGAAGCGTGGTCCGTCGGGTCGGAAAAACGAGGGAAGGGGCACTTAGGGCACTTTGTCAGCTACTCCTGGTGGGGGAAACTATTCGGTCTCGTCGGCTACATGTGTGGAAAGAGATATGTGGGCCCATGTGGGGGATGTTTGGTCTTCCTTGTCGGTTATCTGTGGGGGAACCCGTTCTGGCCTTGTCACGGCGCACTTGAAATCGCTGGTAGACGGGGTGGTTTTGTCGACTTCGCCCCGAGTACCTGTTTGCTGGTGGATGGAGAGTCTTGAGTGACGGGTAGTCACACCTTTGGAGGATGTTATTGTACTGCATAAGCGAATCCAGAGAAAAAGGAACCCTCACCCCTGAACCCTTCTGCTAAACTCTAAACCGCGGCCCTAAGCCCTAAACCCGAAGCCCTGAACCCTAAGCCCCTGGGACTTAAGTCCCGCCTGACAGTGATGATACGAGCTGCAGCGCGCTGAGGTCCGAACGGCGTGCCGGCAGCTGAGAGGGTGTGGTATCGCACAGCCTCGAGTTTGGGGGCTTAGGGCTTGGGGATCTCTGAGCCTAACCCCTAAACCCTGAACGCCAAGAGAACCCTAACTTCGTCTTTGTTGGTTGCCAAGGTCAGGAAGCCTGCGCTCGGGAGGATGCGCGGCAGCCACCGCCAGAAGAGCCGGTGGTGGCTTTGGCCTCGGGGCGTGGGGGCTTCTTGGGTTTACAGGGTTTAGGGTCTATAGGGCATGACAGGTTTTAGGGTTTAAGAACTAAGGGTTTTACGGCTTATACGTTTCGCAGGGTTTGCAGGGCTTATAGGGCGTATGGGATTTGCGGGTTCATTTGGGGTTCAGGGTTTATCGGGTTGAGGGACTCTGTAGGATAAAACCTCGAAAGCCAGCAGATCACATTTTTTGGGCTGGTATGTTTCATTTTGGCGGGTTGAGAGAGCTCCTTCTTTTGGATCATGGACATGTGAATCCTATCTTGACTTTGTGTTTCGGTGGCGTGAACCCTGAACCCTAAATCCTCAACCCACAGTAGTGCCTAGGTGTCGCCGGCTGTAGAGGCTGAGCGACCGCAAAGCCCAATGCCGACAGTGCCGGCCTCAGACCAGCTCTTTGCCCTCTTCAGTCCGGAGGTTTAGGGGTCAGGGCAAGGCCCGAAACCCAACACAACATCTGCCGCCTGGATCTGCGTGCAACATTTTCTGAAGAGAAAGGCAGTGCGTAGATTCAGGCAAACTTTTTCCATTGTGTTGTTCGAAAACGATGTTGTGCAAACAGTCTCTACACTTTCCCTCCTCTTCGTGTCCTTTCGCCTCTTCCTTTCCTCTTCATCTCCTCTTCCCTCCTCTTCCCCACTTCTTCCCACCTCTTCACCACCCCTCCTCCTTCCCCTCTTCATTTTCTCCTTCCTCTTCTCTTCCCCTCCGCTTGGGGACGGAGATCTGGAGAAACGTTTAATGTTGCAGAAGAATGTAGAATCTTAAGCATAGAAACGCCAGAGTCTTTAGTCTTTAGCTTTAAGCTTGTGATCCCACGGGAAACCTCGGGACCGCTGTTGGGAAGTTGTGGGTATGGGGAGGGGGGGGGGGGGGGGGGTTAGAATGAAGCCTAGGCTCCGCATGTCAAAATGGGTTAATGTAGGGTTTGGTGATCCTGTCCAAGACCCTCATAGTTGCTTTCACAGAAAGGTCGCACCGCCCAGATACTCCTGTTTCTGAGGGCGGGGTAACACGAACAAACCTAACATGAAGACGCTGTGCTGGGAGTGACGGGCTGCAGTGCTTCTGTCTGTTGCACCCTGAACCCCAAGCCCTAAACCCTAAACCCTGAACAGTGAACCAAATCGCCTGCAGGAAAGCACTTGACTCCCACCCCACCCCCCTCCCACCCCCCCCCCCCCTCAACAAAAACAACAAAAAGCAAAAGTCTTGTCTCGCAGGAATTGCTTGGTTTAGAGAAAACCCAGAGGTTCAGGGTTTAGGCACTCTCAACCCGACATCCTTGCTGCCAGGCGATACTCACAGAGCTCTGCCAACAGGCCGCTGTTTTTGGGCTGTGGAATCTTTTGGTGCTGAAATGCTCCAATCCCCCTTCACCCCCCTCATCAGGTAACTTTGCTGTCATGGATTAGTAGCAGGGGCGTCTCCTTATTGGGCTGAAGAGGGCCTTATTTCGGACATCCTTCAAAGGGTCGAAGATCGGACTTTGACATAGGGGGCTTTGTATGCTTTGTTTGAGGTGTTACTTGGGGTGCAGAGTTTCGGGATGCTCTGCAGGTAGCGCTTGCAGCGGGAAACCCCAAAAAAAGGACCGCCCTAAAAGGCCCGAACCTAGACCCGAAACCCTAATCCCTAAACCCTAAACCTTAAAGAAACCTTAAACCCTGAACCCGAAAGAACCCCCAGTTTTCGAAGAGCGGTTCCAGCTCTTTGCCATGTTTATGGCCTGCGAATCTAAAAACTTCTTGCCTCTTTTCAGGTGCTCCAGGCGTGCCGGAGCATGTGCGAGGCTGCGGTCACAGTTAGGGCCAGGGCTTAATCCCCTCCCCCCCTAGTGTTAAGCGCCCCCGCCCCTACCCCCTACTTTTCTGAAACACTCCCCAGGGAGGGGATTAGCGTTGCAGACTAGTTCCGACCAAGAACACCCTGAACGTTTGTGTTTTTGGTGTGTGAGTGGTAGACGCGTTTGTCTGACATGACTCCCTCCGACTAATTCCTGATTTTTTAGACTCTAGGCCCTATATTTTCCCTAACCCCTGCATAGCTCTTGTCCGCAAAACCTACATAGCTCCTTAATCCCTAAACCGCAAAGCCCCAAACCACTTGCCTGAAACCCCCAAACCCCGAAACCCAAAGCCCCGAAAACCCCAAACCCCCTTAGGCCCCCCTAAGCCCCCCTGAACCCCCAAAACCCTAAACCGCCAACCCCGAAACCCTTTTCAAGCCCAGGAGGTGGAGAGGAGCGGCCGCAGCAGCCGGGAAGAGCTCGAGTCCCTAAGGGAGCTGCGCGAGGCGCGCACGCGCGCATGCGTGTCATGTTTGGGGCTTTGGGGGGCCGCTTTTTTGAGGTTTTGGTGGGTTTTGGAGCTTAGGGCTTTGGGGTTTTTGGGGTCTTTGGGTTTTAGGTTAGGGCTTTGGTAGACTGAGGGTTCTGTTTAGGGTATTGCTAGGCTCAGGGGTTTGGGGTTTTTGTGCTAGGGTTCAGACTTTGGGGTTCAGGGATGTAGCGATTAGGCGGCTTTCAGCATGGCGAAACACAAAACCCTAAAGTGCGGCGCCAGGTGCCCCAGTTCATCAGCCAGATGTGGTCGCGCATGGACCAGAACCACACGGAGCTGAAGCAGACACTCCGGGAGGTGCCGCTCTTGGGTTTGGGGCTTTGGTGGTTGCTAGGGCTTCTGGTTTTAGGCTTAGGGTGTGGTGTTTGTTTGTTTTGCGATTTTTTCATTCTTTTTTGGTCTTTTGTGTTTTGCCTAAACCGTTGAGGTGTCTTGGGTTTTGGGGCTACTGCTACTGCTACAGCTGCTGCTGCTACTGCTCCTGCTCCTGCTCCTGCTGCTGCTGCTGCTGCTGCTGCTGCTGCTGCTGCTGCTGCTAGAGCTAGTGCCCCCGGAGCTTGCGGCCCGCAAAGCCCTGAATCCTGGAGCCTTAAACCCTAAACCCCTAAGCCCCTTAACAAAAGCCCTAGACCCCTAAACCCCTAAGCCCCTTCAAAAAGACCTAAACCCCTAAACCCCTAAACCCCTAAACCCCTAAACCCCTAAACCCCTAAACCCCTAAACCCCTAAACCCCTAAACCCCTAAACCCCTGAACCCCTGAACCCCTAAACCCCTAAACCCCTGAACCCCTAAACCCTAAACCCTAAACCCTTAAGCCCCGTAAGACAGCTCCTGAACCCCTTAAACCCCGTCAAGCCCCTCAACCCCCTCAAGCCCTCAACCCCCTCAAGTGCTCGTTGCGCAGATGGATTTCAGCAAGCTCCTGGAGTTCACGCAGGACTGCCGAACGCAGGCGAGCCTGAGCCCATGCTGCCTCGCTGTCCTGCCGAGTCAGGGAAGACTCGGGTAGACGCGGTTAGGGTTTCGGGTTTAGGGTTCAACTAGTGTTTAGGGGTCGGGGTTATCAGGCCCACGAAATGGCCAGTTCAGAGGCTGTTTCGGGGATACCTCAAGCAGAAGAAGGACCGCAGTACAAAACGGGTAATTATAAGCTCCGAAGCCCTGTAAAAGCCTAAGTGGGCTCAAAGAGCCTAAGCCCTGAGCCTTAAACCGCTGTCAGATGGCCTCCGATTCAAGGGCGCTCCAGGACATGCTCGAGGCCCGCTCAGAAGGTTGTGGATGTGGTTTTAGGGCCAGGTACCCCAGAACCAACTGTTCTTGTGCAATGCGAGAAGGCTCCTTAAGACCTGAACCCTCAACCCTACACCCTACCCTCCCCTCAACACCATCCCAAGGTTGCCCATGATGCAAGGCGAATTCTTGGGGGTTAGCCTTAGGGGGGATTCCTATGAACTCAGCACAAGGTGGGAAATACCACATGGAAGGTGGCTTGCTGTCACTCCAAAACCCTAAACAGCCCCAAGCCCGCTCTACGAGCTCTGCAAGTTTAACCCAAAACCTTTGGAGGATACAGGAAACTGAATTCCCTACTTGCCTATACTAAGAACCACTAAGTTTCCTTGCCCCGGTGAGGCCACGAGACTCTCGATGGCTGAGGCGGCAGAGGCGTCTCAGAAGGCAGCTTGCCGAAGCCCAACATGGTTGCCCCACAACTCGACAAGCCCTGTTAACCTCAAAGCCTAAACCCGTGCGTGTGCGAGACGCGGGGCAAGGGGGGGGGGGGGGGTAGCTGAAAGTTTGAAACGTCAGAATGCCTAACACCACAACACCCTACACCCTGAAGCCTGAACCCCCAAACCCTAAGCCGTCAAGCTCCAAGATGCAAGGTGATTCAAAGGCCTCGGGAAACCGCATGCCATAATCTTTGTCTTCAAACTTCTATTTCCACTAGCCTCCCCGAGCACCGCTCTGAAGGTAACAGCGGTGGACCCGGCACCCATTTTGGAGCCGATGCAACAGTTGGCGGCGTGGCTGCAGTTGATCCCTCCGAGTTGATCTGGAGATTTGTTGGGCAGCGTCGGCAGCGTCTGATGGTTGTGATAGACACGGCATAAGAGGTTCTGCACTTGGGCTGCTGTAATCCTACCGAGGGCACCCGAAACCTTTCATACCAAGAGCCCAATTCCTTAAGCTTCAGGTAAGCAAAGGTTTAATGAGGGATCTCCGGGTCATTCCTCGGCAAACTTCGGCCCAACGGCTCACAACACTGAAGCCCGAAGTCCTATATACAAGGTACAAACACCCCCTCAAAAACGAGTTATATACTATATGATTTATATGATGTTATATTGTATTATTTATTATAATTCCTACTGTCACTGTAGTATATGACATACTTATATGCTGTTTCCTTACAGTATAGTATGACGTACTGTATTGTAGATTGCATGTTATATGAAGCATTAGCGAGCCCCAAACCCTAATTCCCAAACCCGCGAGGTGGACGCCGTGGACTCGCGAAGCGCCCGCGTCCTCGAGGAGATTCAGAAGGGTCAGCGCAGCGAGGCGGGGCTTGCTTCGCTGCTTGGGGGATCGGATAGGGTTTCGGGTTTCGGGTTTCGGGTTTAGGGTTTAGGGTTTAGGGTTTCGGGAGAACAGGAAGTGTAGCGTTCAGGAAGTGTAGGTTTAGGGTTTAGGGGGCCGAGGCATCAAGGGTTTCAGTTTTGAGTTTAGGGATTCTTGGTTTTGGAGATATTTGGGGGTGTTTAGCAGGAGAGTTCAGGGTCCGGGGGGGGCCGAGGGCTCAGGTTGTCAGAGCGGCCGCCTGAACGCGACTTCGGCTCCCAAACAGGTGGAGCCTCTGGAAAAGGCCTAGAGCTTAGAGGATTTGGCCTTCTGCATCGGCAAGCCCCAAGCACTAACACTCCACGACACAAGGAATCAGCAAGGGTTCAGGGTTTTAGGGTTTAGGGTTTCACTATGATCGCGTTTTGGGACCCTCGAGTAAGTTGCGCTCTCCCCCCCAGAGAAGGATAAGGACTGGGCTGTCAGCCCCCAAAAAGCCTGTGAAGAGGTGGACCCACGGCAGAGCTTTCGTGAGCACGGCCCTAAGTGGTCAGTTGTAAAATTCAGGGTCGTAATTGGGTGCCCTGTTTTTTTTGGGCCCCTATTTCAACAAGAGCTGCAAACGAGGGCCAATTCCTAAGCCTTGTTTGGGGGGGGGGGGGTGTAAGATGTAGAGTTGAGGGTCTTTTTTTGGGTTCAGGGTTTAGTGTTTAGGGGTTTTAGGGAGTTTAGGCAAGCTTAGTTTAAGGGCATTGGCGTTGGTCCTTTCCCTGAACCTGAAAACCCTAACCCTACCTCTAAGCACTCTCATTGGCACCTGAAGCAAAGGGGACTCCCTACAAGTCCGGAAAGTTGGGTCCCACTTGGTCTTGGATTTTGGTCCTGGGCGCTTTGTTCGGGCAACGAGATTTCCTTAAACCCTGAACCATGAACCCTGAAAGCCCCAATCCCCGAGCCGTGAACTCATAAACCCTAAGCCCTCAACCGGAGACCCTGAAAACCCTAAATCCTAGACCCTAAACCCTAATCCCGAGGTGCCTGGCCGAAAGTGGCTTGGCTGACTCGGTACAAGATGTGCGGGAGGCGCTTGGAACTGGGGCGGGGGTAGCAGTTTTTCAGAGTTTTAAGGGTTGCTGGGGGATTTTTGGGGTCTTTAGGGTCTTAGGGCTGTTAGGGCTCTTCGGGATTTTACGGTTTTTAGGGTTGAGGTTTCGAGGTTTTAGGGGTTCAGGGGTATAAGGGTTAGGGCTTAGGGCTTAGGGCTTCATTGTGTTACAGTGCGAAGGTGGCCGCTTGTTGTTGCAACTTGGCGGGCTGCGTTGCTCTTGCAGTACTTTCCAGTTGTGGTAGCCCATCCAAAGAAATGAAATGCCCCAAGGTTCAAGGTTTAGGGGTTAGGGTTGGAGCTTAGGGCTTTGGATTTAGTGCTTCTGGGTTTCAACCTTTTTGCCTAAAGACACCGATCTACCTTCCTAGACCCAAAACCCTAAAACCCCTAAAGATCCTAAGAAGCCCCAACCCCCAAACCCCTAAACCCCTGAACCCCCTAAACCCCTCAACCCTAAACACCCCAAACCGCTTGGAGCCCATCCCAGCAGCCGCGCCAGGCGGTGCTCGCAGCTGTGGGTGACGTGAAGGACCTTGGGGCATGTCTTTCATGTCTTTATGCTGATTCAGGGTCTGGGTTTAGATTTTAGGGTTTAGGGTTGATTCAGGGTCCTACACCCCCAAATCCCTGACTTTTAAATCAGTCCCACCGTGCATGTCTGCTATCCGAGTAACCCCGAATCTTGTCGGGTGGGTACGTAGGGAGCTGAGGTGAGAAGGCGGTTTGGGTTGAGGGTTCAGGGTTCGGGGTATTGCTTCCAGATACAAGTAATGTGCAACCAGCATTTAGGGTGGATTTAAGGATGAATTACGGAAATTACAGGGGAAGGGATCCTGTGGTTTTGTGGAGATGCTGCTCTGCAGGGAAGACTCCGCGAGCTTGCGCCCAAGAGCTTCTGCCGACGTTGAGGGTAGGGCTGACAGGGTTTTGGGGTTCAGGGTAGGGTTTGGGGTTTGGGGTTTGTAGTGTGGAGTCAGCCCTCCGACTCAGGGCATTGCTTCAGGCCCCCTACCCCCCCCCCCCCCCCATTCTACACGATGCTTGATCAACAGCACTTCAAGAGACTTTGGATTGGGTACTTGTGCTGCAGAGCGTCGTGTTTGGATTTTCGGGGTTTTTGCGGCCCAGAAGATGCGTCAGCCCATGCTGCCTATGCCCCTAAATCCACTCAAATCTCCTAAGTGTCTTGATGTGCGCTGGACACAGTGCTCCCCCCCCCCCAAACCCTGCACCCTAAAACCCTGAAGCCCTGAACCCTAAGCGTATACTCACCAGAAACCTTCTTCCTTAAGCCAGCAGCCACGCCGAAACACCAGATCAGTTCTCGTCCTGGTCGAAGTTGAGGAACAAAGCCACAATCCTCGGACCCATGAAGACTTCGCTTAAGCCGTAGACCGTCATGAGACCCTTAAACCCTTGGTTCGGTTCGGAGTCTCACATATGTCCACCAGGCTCGACGCACTCAGCGCCTTAAAGGACTTGAAGCAGTCGCAGGCCTCTTCTGACGCGCCCGGGGCCCCAAATGAGTCAAAGGATGTAACCACGAGCAAGATATTTATATACATATATATATATATCTATATATATATATATGTATATATATATACACATACGTATGTGTGTATATATATATATACACATACTTATTGCCGATTGTTGCTCGAAAAAGTATTGGTAGCATTGGTTGTATCAGTTCGGATCACCGTCCGCCCGCCCCTTCGCCCGCCCACCGATGTTTGATCGGTAGAGGCGTGCTTAATCATTCGGCCACAGCCGAACTGGTTAATACAATCCTGTGCATACTGTGCCGCATATGCAAGTCCTGGCGAGGGGGCTTAATTTTGAGAAGGGACTTGGGATCAGAACCCGAATCTACATTCCTAACGACGACGACTACACCGGCTGGAGCAGCAGCAAAGAGGCTGATGGGCTTAGGCAGCTGCGAGGTTTATAAAGGGTCGAAACAGTACGCCCTAAACCCGCGAAACGCTTCAGCGGCAGCCACTGATTCTGTTTCGCAGCCGAGCTGGGGATTGACGTGACGGGGATTCGAGCAGTGGACCTCATGATTACGGGCTGACGGGCCTGAACCATTACGCCACTCGGGCTTTCCCAAATCTAGAAGCTTCTTCAACTTAATGTCAGTTTTTTGATTGTGGTTTCTGACAGATTTTGAGACCTATCATTAAAGCCATAACCCTAAACCCCAAACCCCAAGCCCTAAACCCTAAACTGCTGAGGTCGCTGAAGGTGCTGCAGAATGGCTTGGATTTGCTTGGGCGCGATCTCGAGCGCGATCGGAGCGAGCGGGGCGAGCACATGGAGCGCGAGCGCCGGTCGCACACGGCGGCCGTGGACCTGTGGGGAGGCCCAGGTGTCTCTTTTTTGTGTTTTGAGTTTAGGGTTTTAGGGTTTCGGGGGGGGGGGGGGGGGGGGGTTTGGGGTTGCAGGGTTGATGATAAACCCCAAACCCCAGACCCACCTGAAACCCTTGAAGCAGCTGATTTGGGAATACAAAAATGCCGGAGCTCGGCAGCAGCATAGAGCATTGTTTGGATTGTGGTTTTTGCATTCTGCGTGCAGGGCCCCAACAACAAAGGATCACAGTTCTCCCAAGAGGGTGTTGAGGTTCAGGTTGCGGGTTTCAAAGGGGTGTCCCAGAGAATGCGTGTGGCACCCATGTACAGTTGAAGCGATGCATCCGTAAGGGGTTCAGGCTTAGGCGTTTAAGCCCCAATATTTCCATCATGCCATGTCGCTGGCCTCCCTTGCTGCAAGTCTCGCGCTTCGGCGAACTTATCTTGTCCTAACCTGTATAAAACCTCAAGACCTAGTGCCCTAAAGCCTCAAGACCTAAAACACAAAGCAAGGAAACACAAACCCTGAAACCTCATGAGCACAAGAAGCTCGAAGACATGTTGCGTCTGCTGTAACCCTTCAAACCCCTTAAGCCCTGAAACCCCCCCCCCCCCAACCCCCCAATTTTCCAAGCCCTGAAACTCAAAATCCCAGGTCACCGGTCCTTTTGGCCCTTCAGGAGGAGCACCAGAGCCTGCCCGGCTCCCAGTGCTCAGCATGCTCAGGTTTAGGGAGTTGAGGGTTGACAAGGTTTACAGGGTTTAGGATTGAGGGAGTTGTGAGTTGTGGGAGTTTATGTAGACAGTTCAGAGGGTTTAGGGTTTTGGATTTTACGGCCAAGGCGTGACGGTGAATATGCGTTGCTCTCAGGAAGCTTAGGATCTGATTTAAGGGGCTTGGCCTTTCGGGTTGAGGATCGAGGGGCTTTGGGGGGCTCTAAACCCTAAGCCATAAGTCCCAAACCCAAAACCCTAAATACACAGACTCAAACTTCTTCCTGAGGAACCCTTAAAGAGCTCGGCTGTAGGGTGGTCTCAGGGATTGCCGTCTGCTTACTTTAAGCCCTAAACTCTAAAACCCGAGACGGAGACCACGAAGCTTAAGGTTTATTAGGGCTCTAGGTGCTTCGGTGAGGTTTAGAATTTCTCTGCAAGGAAGGAGGCCATTCGGCAACACGGCGACGCGCCGGGCGCCAAGCATGGGTGGCTAGGGACTAGGCTGCGGTGCATCTCGGGTTGAGTGTTTAGGGTTCAGGCAGGGCACATACAATGGACACATTCTGTACTATATTGTATATTTAGAGTTCAGGGCACAAGAGGCCCTTCTCTCTCTCTCTCTCTGTTTTTCCGTCTTTCTGTCTTTCTTTCTTCCTGTCTTTCTGTCTTTCTTTCTTTCTCCTTATTCCTGATCGTCACGACATCAAAGTGCCGAGACTTTGGCCCCACAGGCGGTAACAAAGCGTAAGGGTGGTTTGTGGATGAAGCTTGCAGTGGTCAACCCTAAACCCTGAGCTCTTGACTCTCTTATCCGTAAACCCTCGGCCCACAACCCGAAGCCCTCAGCCAAGAATTTTCAGCCCCATACATTACAACAAACCCCAAACCCTCAACCCTGAACCCTAAACCCTAAACTCCAAACCCCGAAGCCGAACGACTCAAACCCTACACCCAGGTCGCCGGTCCTCGCCGGACTAGAGCAAGTAAGGACAGGGCTTCTGGCCTCAAGGGGTTCACCACTTGATCCCCTTAAACGACTTTAGGGTCCGGGTTTCGGGTTTTTTGGCTTAGGCTTTTGGGCGTAGGGTCCAGGGTTTGGGGTTAGTCCTTGGCCCTCAAACCCCAGTG